GGGTGGTCGTTAACCTTGGCCTTGCCTTCCTTGCCTTGCCTCCCCTCCACCCCCTCTTACCCCCTTGTCGCCCCCCCCCCCCCCTTACCCCCGGGGACAGTGCCGAAGCCTCTCATAAAACGGCCCCCTCCACAACACGGATCGTATTGGCTTATACAAGTACACACACTCCGGCCCTACAGCATCGCCCCAAGCCGTGATCCGATCTCTATCGCCTACTCCAGCCGCCAAAAACAAACAAAGAAAACCCCCCCCCCCCAATAAATATATATACATTCGTGCATGTTGTGTACATGTATGTGTATATGTTTATATATGCAAACGCAAACGAGACTTAGGTTACCCCTCGTCTTTTTCAAGCGAGACGTCGTTGCTCGCTAGGCTGGTTTCTCTGCCAGACCTGACCGGCTTGGTTTCGGCTTGTTCTCGACGGGAGCTTTGAACAGAGAAGAGAAAAGAGAGAGAGAGAGAGAGAGAGAGAGAGAGAGAGAAAGAGTAGACGGCGGACATCTCTCGTGACTGGCGCCTGGCGGGTGTCTGCGAAGGAATCTGGGTTGCCCCTTGGGGAGAGGCATGCTCCCATGTCAACCACGGCAACATACACGGTCACCATGGCAGAGCTGAGGGCCGAGACGCAACACGGCGGCAGCCTCTGGTCCAACTATGGAGCCCCGGTGCAGATGTCGGGCCGGTTCAACCCCCAAGATTCGGGCTCGTCGGTGACGGGACAGCCGGCGCCACCATCGCACATGGCGCGCCCCAGGAGTCGTCAACACACAATGGACTACTCACAGCAGCAGTACCACCCCGGCGGCGGAGGTGGACGGCCCCCACAGCAGCAACAGCAACAACAACAACAACAGCACCATCAGCAGCAGCAGCAGCAGGAGGAAGGCGATGCGTACGATAGATACCCGCACCCGTCACTAATGAACATCCCGAGCATAACGAGCCTGAAGCGCAGCTACTCGCAGGTGGACCAGGCGCCGCCGTACACGGAGATGGTGCAGGACCTGCGCGAGGACTACAAGCCGGCCAACCACGACCAGAAGCTGCTCTCCTTCAAGAAGGTCGGGGACAAGCACACCATCGTCGACCAGAAGGGGCGGATCCACGAGATGGAGATCGACGCGCAGCTGCACGGCATGTTCTTCCTGTCCGAGTTCCCGTCGGGGACGGGACCGGGCCCCTCGGCCGACGGCAGCACGCTCAACGCCGAGCTGACGTGCTACCGGCGGAACCTGTTCCAGATCAGCGGCAGCCTGTGCTTCCCGCAGATCCCGCTGTCGGTGCTGCTCGAGACGGGCGAGGCCAGCCAGATCAAGAACATGGAGGTCAGCATATCGGCCATCGAGTCCGTCGACGGCCACCCCGTGCGCCTGATCGTCATCCCGTGGAAGACGCCGCCGCCCAACTCGCCCGAGATCAGCCAGGGGCCCGACCAGGAGCCGCCCCCGCTGCCGCTGATCCCCTGGTCCGAGGGCGACGAGGAGACGGGCGGCGACCACTACGCCATCTACCCCATAGGCTGGCGGCGCCTGCAGTTCAGAATGTAAGTCTAGTCTTGTTCCCTCTCTGGAAGGCAAAGCAAAGGAAAGGAAAGCAAACACGGGGTGGAAAAGGGAGGCGCGGAATGCTAAAACTCGAACCCACCGCTAGAGCGACGGCAAACAACGGGAGACGAAAGGAACTGCAGCAACACTTTGTGCTGCACCTCAAGCTGCACGGGACGCTCGCCAACGGCAGCAAGGTGGTGCTCTCGGAGCTGACGACGGCGCCCATCGTGGTGCGGGGGAGGAGTCCGCGCAACTTCCAGGCGCGCAAGGAGATCCCGCTGCTGGGGTCGAGCGCCGGCTCGCGCGGCCAGACGCTGGTCGAGAACGGCCAGGGCATCGTGGCCCAGGCCGTCATCCTCAACAAGCCGCCCTACGACTCGCGGCCCCGCGTGCCCAGCGTGCCCGGTATGGAGCTGCCGAGGACCGCCTTCACCTTTAGCGCGCCCAAGCAGATGCCGCAGAGCCCCATGCAGATGCGATCAAAGTAAGTGAGACAAGACACGAGGAGACGGGAGGACAAGAGAGGGGGGATGGATGGATGGATGGATGGATGGGATACATGGGCAACGAGACGGAAGAAAGAAATGCAGAAATAAGGGGGAGAACACAAGCTAACAGATGCCCACAGCTCGTACCCGACAACGTGGAACCCGCCGCCCGGGTCCATGCCGCACAACCCGGGGTCGGCCTCGTACCCGGCGGCGAGCATGGCGGGTGAGCCGTACCCGAAGATGCCTCTGACGGGGGCGCCAAGCTACACGGCCGAGCCGCAAGAGATGCCCTCGGTGCAGCTCTCGCTCGTGGCGCAGGACCAGCAACAGCAACAGCAGCAGCAGCAACAACAACAACAGCAACAGCCACCCATACGAACACAGTACGCAACATACGTGCAGGGGTCGTCGGCGCCGCCCCATCTGTCGCTGTCGACGACGGCCGAGAGCTCGCTCAACGTGCCGCGGTACGTCGACAGCAACCCGCGGCCGTCCAAGAGCCCGCGGCACGCCAGCCACCAGTCGGTGGCCAGCTCCATTTCCAACGACACCAGCTCGGGCGAGTACCGGTACGGGCCGCCGCCGCCGCCGTACGGCAGCGGCGCCAACAACGCCAGCGAGATCAGCCCGCAGTCGCAGCAGCACCCGTCCGCCGTAGCCGGGCCCTACGGCACCCCGTCGCAGGACAGCGGGCCCTCGGCCCCGCCCTCGGCCTCGGCCAACAGCGCCGGCCAGCCCCCACGCGACTACTTCCCGCCCTCGCAGTCGTGGACCACCACCGCCGGCGAGCCGTCCGCCCCCAGCGTCTCCTACAGCGGCGGCGGCGGCGGCGGCAACAACAGCCACCACCCCGGGAGCCACGGCAACCCTAGCGGTGCCACCGGCGGCGACCGCCCCTACGCCTTCCCCAGCGTCAAGCCCGAGTCCCACCAGCAGCAGCACCCCCACCACATGCAGCCCGCCCCGCACTCGACCGCCCCCGGCGCCGGCGTGTACCCCGTCAGCCACTACACATGGAACGCGACGTGAGAGCCGGCGGTCAAATGGGCCCCCCCAAAGAGGAGAATATTAAAATAATACTCCCTAGGGAAAGAGAGAGATAAGGGGGGAGGGGAGGAGGGGGAGATGACAGAAACGATGCCGAGATGGGAGAGGGAGGGAGGGATGGGACCGACACAAGCAGAGAGATGAGGGGATATATATATATATATATATATATCCCCACAAAGACCAATACCCAACCTCTACCAACCCACTCGCGGTGCGGCGGTCGACTGTGGCGTGTACATGTGCGTTTGGTGTGTGCGGACCGGACAGCACCCTTCTCAAACGGCCAATACCCCCCCCCCCCCTTCGAAACATGTCTCCTCCCTCTCACCATATCCATCCACAGAGAGAAAGGCAAAAGGGAGGTGGGGGACCAAAACAACAGGCGGGCACGCGGATCACCTCTCTCGGAATTCAAACCACCATCCTCCCTCCCCGAATGCCGGATACGTTTTACTTCTCCTTTGATATACATATATACCTATATCTTGTAACGACACAAAATCACGAACGAATCGATGGCATACACGCGCGCGCGCTCGTCCCCGGCTTGGTACCTAGGGTGAATATGAGAGAGGGAGAGAGATACATATGGCATGTGGGGTTGAGCGAGCGAGCGAGCGAGCACAGTGAGGGGGCGGGGGGCTCGGTTCCCCGTTGGCGGGGAGGATGACTAGGAGAGTGGAAGTGTTGCTGTGCTGTGCTGTGCTGTTGTTTGTGCTGCAAAGACGTACAGAGGGGCATTCAGGGAAAGGGCAGACAGATAGCGCAATATCCGGGTCTGCGTCTGTCTGTGTGCGAGTGTGTTCTACGAACGAGCGAGCGAGCGAGAGAGAGAAGTCCATCGGGTGCGGGTGCGGTACAAATGACGCGGCGTGTTTTATGGAAATGCATAATGTCTTCCCCCCTCCCCTTTTCCCATTCTCATTCACTTTCCCAAATCATTATTACCTATACATCATTGCCATGCCTGCCCTTTTTTGTCTGCCTCACCTACCTATCTTTCTCGCTATATATATATTCCCCCGGACCGAAATTAGCTTTTTCGTTCTTGTTTCGCCCATTGCCAGCGCGGTTCTTGTTTTTTTTTTCTTTTTCTTTTCTGTTCTGGTCGGCTTGGGTTGGGTTGGTTTGTTTTGTTTTAGTTCTGGGCGGCAAAAAACTATCTTTTCAAGTGCTTTGCTGGAGGTGTTTTATTCTTCTTCTAGTATGCGTGTATGTTTTTATAACAGCCTTTTGGGGGCTCTTAGTTTGCTTTTGTTTTGTTTCATGGGTGGTATGGTGTGTCGGCGGCATTCGTTTTTCGCTTTCGGGCTTGTTTTGGTATGCGAGGAGCATGCATATTATACATACACGTCATACATTACATTACATTGGTGAACCGTCTGCCGCGTCTTTTTGCAGTCTGGCCGTACTGTATACCTGCTTTCTTTCTGTCCATTGCAAGTTCAGGAGAGGCGGTCCTTTGTGCTTGCTTCGTTGGAAAGAAACCCGGGACAAACCAGCACCGACTTGGTTCCGTTTGTGTACGTGCAGAGAAAAGGGCTGTAAGAATTGGAAGTCTGGTTTTCGTATAATCCAGACTAGAGGATACCTTCTTGTTCGTTTCTACGCAATTACCTAGGCTGAGATGGGTGCCTGTCTTGACAACAATTAGACCAAAAAAGGGGCTTGAGATAACAAACCACCACCACCGCAGAAATTCTCATCGAGACATGTCAATAGCGACGGCGTTAGCTATCGTCTGCTTATAAAAAGTACAATGCGAGGCCACGACATTTGCAATAAAGAAGAAAAAAAATAACACCCAATTAAAGTTTACAACCGAATCTCAAAAAATAGAGATGAAGTATTTTTAGCTGGTGGATAGATAGGTTGGGAGGCAAAAATAGACATGAAAAATATTAGGTCCTACCCGGAATCGAACCGGGGTTACCGGAACAGCTGAGGTTGTTCAGAATCCGATGTGATGACCGCTACACTATAGAACCGACCGTTCTGGATTGATGGAGATTGTGGATCCTAAAGCGCATCAAGGGGGAGACGAAACACGGAAAGGGGAGCAAAATCAGCCAGATATTGCATTCTCTGTCTAGGACGAGTGCGCGAAACCATCGTAGCTAGGATTTAATTAGACCAAGTTTGAGTGCTACAAGCAGCTGCGCCGTACGCGCTGATGCAGGCTCTTTGGGAGGAGGCATGTTCCGCGGCCAGCTGGTGTCAGATGCCCTGCATGGGCAGTTTAAGCGGGGCGACCTCGGGGACGGACCGATTTTCTGGCGCGCGAATGCGGGAGCTTCCACACTCGCAGTTTACACACCTTACCGAGTCTTACTGACCGACCACTCTCACATCAAATCGCTTGATTGATCTCTGCTCTTATCCCACGACGACTGATGAGCAAAACATACAACCAACTTACACCCGCCGCGCCAAAACCCACATATCAAATAATCCAAGCACATGGAGACAATGTTTGAGCTCCCGGATGCAAAGCGGTATGTGAGCCTGAGATGAGACTGAGACTGGTTTTCTCAAAAAAGCAAACGCTGATTCGGAACATCAGTGTGAGGCGGCAGGATCTGTACGACTCAGCGTCAGACCGGCAGTCGAGTCCTGGCGACGACGGCGCAGAAGCTGAGTTGCGCGCCAAGCTGAATGCTCGTCTCTCCAACCTGCTCGCCATAGATCTGCGCCCGCCCGAGGCATCGGCCAGCGAGGTGGCCCAGGCAGCTGGAGACGGCAGCGGCGAGCACCAGGACGAAGAGGAGTTCGAGTTTCGACTCTTCTCAACCTCGGGAGCAGCGCCCAAAGTCGTCCTCGAGGACAACAGCGGCGCACGTAATGGTCGGCCGGCCATCGCGCAGCGGCCCGTGTCCTTCTACGTCCGGGGAGAACTGACACCCGAGGAACACGAGAGGCTCCGATTTTCGGCAGTAAGCGGCAAGGACGTCCTGGCCGGAGCCCAGCAGCGGGCCTGGGGGTTGGAAGTGCCGTGGCGGGTTACCAAGATCACGATAGGAACAGCGCAGAAGAGGCCAAAAACCGGCAGCCAACCGTCTGGGCTGTCAGAACTGGCTGGCGAGCACCCAAAGAAGAAGACGCGGCCGGGGAAGAAGATGAGGATAGCAGCGAGGATCAAAGAAAGGGCCCAAAAGGAAGCGGCGGCCGCTCTCGAGAAGAAGAAGATGACCAAGGAGGAGCATCTGAAGGAGAAGAAGAAGCGGCTGAACCGAGAGAAGAAGCTGAAGCGGAGGCAAAAAGAAAAGGAGAAGAAACAGGCCGGCAAGGGGGAGGCGGGCGAGCAGTCCGAGTCAGAGGGCGACGATGCAGATTAATTGGTAGCGCGATGTCCATTGCTGTATCAGCCTGTATGTACTGTACTGTACATACGGATATCGAGCACGGAAGTAGCCTTGCCCACTCCATTGTCTTTACGATATCACGACGTCAAGTCCAAAATGAAAAGGAGTTGGTCGAACCACTTACGGCTTCTAATACTCATTTGGCATTCTTTACGGTTGAAATCGTTCTTCTGGCTTCAAAATTGCCAATTATGGGTTGTACCCCAATGTTTTTGATACTTCCTTTACGAAATGAAATACTTGCAGATTGAAATAAATTTCCACTTGGGTTACAGGGTAACCCATCCCTCTATTGAGTTGGAAATTGCAGTGCACTCTATTTTCATTGGTCATTGGTCTAGCACCCACCGAAGCGGGAGGCTACCTAAAGTTATAGCACTCGTCCCCTACTGCACTGCACTGCGCGGCAGACCAGCACGACGCCACCACCACCCGACGGCACAGAACGTCGCCATCATGAACGCGCTGTGGTCGTCGCGCGCCTCGGGCGACGGCGCCGCGGGCGAGAGAGAGAGCGAGAGCGAGAGCGAGAAGCCGCCTGCCGAGGGCCCAGACGCTTCCGAACCCCAGGTCGACACTCCCATTGAACAAGTCGGCCCTGACCCGTCGCTGTCGTCATCGTCATCGTCATCGTCGACCCCATTGACACCGGCCCCGTCCTCGGCCGCCGCCTCCTCGTCGTCCCCCGCTCCCAGACCGAACCCCCAGAACATCCCCAACCTGCGCACCGCTCCCAACGCCCGCCCCGGGCTCCAGAGAAACCAATCGGCACCCCAAGTCCCTCCCCCAGGAGTTCCCCCTCCGGCACCAGCACCGCCGCCGCCGCCGCCGCCGCCGCCGCAGGCTTCGGGCGCCGATGCATCGTCTAACCCCCCCGACTCGCTGTCCCTCGCCCAGCTCCGGCGCATCGTGGCCGAGTTCCCGCGCACCGAGCCCATCGCCTACGATTATGTCTACGAAGACATGGGTCCCATCGACGAGGAGATCGACGAATGGTTCATGTACAACTTCTGGCAGTGGGTGCGCCTGAACGCCGCCAACCGCGCCTTCCACGGCGTCTGGGCCAGGCTCCCTGCCCGCGACTACACCTGGGACGAAGCCGGCCGCGAGGCCCAGCAGAGCTTCGTGCGCGAGGCCCTGGCGTCGATGCAGTCGCCCGACAAGAGCACGCGTGGCGAGGCCATAGGCGCCCTCGTCTACCTGGTCCTGGGGCGCTGGACCGAGACGGTCCGCGCCGCGTCCATGCCCAACCTGAACGAGGGCAAGGTCAAGTCGGCAGCCACAAAGGTGCAGCTCGACGCCATCCGGGCCGGAGTCCAACTGCTCTCGGATTGCGACGGCATCCCGGTCATCTGGGATGCACTGAAGAGCGCTTTCGAACCCTTCTGGCATGTGTGCTCCCAGTCGGACAGCCTCCTTTTCTCTTCCGGTGGTTCGTGTTGTTTGCTAATGCGAGGGACAGGACCGACGAGCACCCCCAAAACCTCCAAGTGCTGGCTGAGGAGCTGATCCACCTGATGACCATCATGTACATGGCGCTGCAAGTGGCGCTGGACGACCCCGATGGCGTGGCCTCGGTCCACTCCGAACTCCGTATGAACAGACCTGCTCGCTATGCAGCACAAGCAGCTGTGGCCCCCCTGCTGACCCCGAACCAGTTGCCCTCAACCCGAACTTGGTCCACTTCATGCTCCATGCCACCGCGAGGCTGAGATGGGACGAGGCGTGCATCCTCCCACAGACCCAGGTAAGCATTGCCTTGGCCGGCATGGATGTATTGACCGCGTGCTGACGAGGGCTTAGGTTTTCCTCTTCTTTTTCAAGTCGATACTGCTCGTATTTGGGGGCTCGAAGGAAATTGCAGATACCAAAAAGGCCACCAGCGAGACGCAAAACGATGACGGCGAGAAGAGCACAATCACAGCATCCCCCTTGGACTACCACGTATTCCGGCAGGAAATAACCTCCAAGTACCCTGCATACATCCCCCCTCAGCCCGCAATCCCCCTGGAAGCAGAGCAGACGTCTCTGCTCCCCCAGCTGCCCAATCACCCAACTCGAGACAGGAGCACGAATGGCATCTTGCCAGGCCCTCCCGGCCAGAGCGGCGGCGCCTCCATCCTTCATCAACCGGTCCACATTGCCACCCCCGCCCCGTCGCCGCCTCCCAGCCCGGGTCCTGGCGGCAAGGGTGGTAAGAAGCAGAACTACCAGACGAACCAGAACTTCCCTTTCATGTACCCGCCCCTGGATGCCACGAGCAACAGCGCAGGCGGGAAAGGCGGGGCCGGGCTTCAGGACCTCCTCGTAGGCAGGAAATGGGAGGGAAGCGATGTGCCCGCGTCCATCCTCGAAGCCGGCGAGCTGTTCTCTCGGCGCGTGAGAATGCCCCGGGCCACCAGGCAGCTCTGGGACGAGCGAGAGAAGTTCCTGAAGTTCGAGCGGGGGTGGGATGGAGAGGACAACGACATCGTGGACGAGCTAGACCTCTCGTCGCTCACCCTCGAGGAGAAGGAGGAGCTGGGCCTGTTGACGGCCGACGAGCAAAACCAGATGGCGCCTGAGCCCGAGGTGGACTATGGCCCGCGAGAGCTCGACGAGCGCACCAAGGAGCGGCTCAGAGCCGTCGAAAGCTTCTATGTGGGTGCCAAGCCCGGCGCACAGTGCTGCTTGTGACCGAGTTGTTTTGCTAACCGCAGCACAGAGCGAGGCGTTGCCGCATCTTCAATCACTGGTGATTGTGCTCTTGAAGGCTGTTGTGGCTATTGCCAGCAGCCTAGTCCCGCCCCCTCCGCCTAACGGGCAACAACACCCGGCCGCTGCCGGCCAGAACAACCAGCGTTTGAATGGCGGCGGGCCAGGCGCGGGTAGACAAGACGCGGCCAACGGCCATGGAGGCGCCGGCAAGGGAGAACTGAGCTCGCCGTCCGAGAACGACGTGGACGAGGCTAGGAGCAGAGAAATCGCTGCCAAGGCGGTGACGGGCGTCATGATCCTTCTGCTGAAGTGGCTGAAGCTGTCTCGTAAGTTTGGGGACGAATCCAAGACCAAATGTCTCCCTCAACTAACAACGTCGCCTAGATGTTCTCAAATTTGAGTACATGACGCAGCTCTTGTTAGACTCAAACTATCTCCCCCTCGTGCTGAAGCTGTTTGCTTTGCAGGATGTCCAGCAGGTAGTTGAGAGCAAGACGGACCGCATTGAGCAGAGGTAAGAGAGCTTCACTCGTTTGTTTTTTCTCCCTGCAAGTCTCGGAGCTGATCCCACCTCCCTGCTCAGTTTCTTCTATTTCTGCGGTTCTCGAGCGGGGGCTATCCTGAGCAACAACGTTCCGAACCCGACGACGACGGAGTTTGAGGAGGACATCAGCGAGGAGGAAGACGAGGCCGCCCCGCCGCCTATCAAGCGGCGGCGGTCTCCGCAGAGGGCTGGCTTCGAGGAGGGCGAGGCGGCCGCAGCCGCACCCGCCGGGGAAGAAAAGCCGACGACGCGGCCCGAGGTGGACGAGCTGGGGTATCCGGTCAACCCGCTGCCAAAAGAGCCCATCACCGAGTTCTCGCGGCGCAACTTCTTCACGCTCATCAACTACCTGCGCGTGATGCAGAAGATCTGCAAGCACAAGGCG